CCCAAAAAAAAAAAAAAAAAAAAAATCTGATAGTGATGCTCTGTACTTGAAACCCTTCCATGACCTCTCAGTGTTCCCCAGATGAAGTCTATATGCCCCACCATAGCCTAGAAGGCCCTGTATAATGTGACCTTGCCAATTTCAGCAGTTCCTCTTGCCCCATCTCGCCCTTCCTCCAGCCATGCTACTTTCACCCTCCTCTGGGCCTTTATATCTGTTGCTCCCTCTGTCTGGAAAACCCTTTCTACTGTCTTTTTAACAGTCTGACTCCTATTCATCCCTCAAGATCCAGCTTAGCTGTTGCTTCCTGTATAGGAAACCTTCCCTGACCTGAGTCAAGTATCTCTTCTAGGGTCCTACAGCCCCTACTCTTAGTTGTCTCAGCCCTGATCACTCTGGCCTCTGTTTCCCCTATCTCAGCCCTGACAATTCTGGACTGCGCTTCCCTATTACAGCTCTGATGCCTCTGGTCTCTGTTTCCCCTATCAAGGTCTTGACTCCTTTGTATGCGCTTCCACAGCCCAGCTGCGACTAATCAGGGCAGTCACCCTCAGGTGCTGGGTCTGTCTGCCTCCCCCCAGCCCCGCCCACATACACATACACACTAGACTATGAGCCCCATAGGGGCAGGGCCCAAGGCTATCTTGGTCACTCCTGTGTCCCCAGTATCACAGAAGAACAGGATATGGTTTAACCAACTATTCTAGTCATCACAAGCAGGGTAAAATGGTGTTAGATATGGGGCTGATAGGGACTTCCCTGGCGGTCCTGTGGTTAAGACTGCGCACTTCCAATGCAGGTGGCATGGGTTCGATCCTTGGTCAGGGAACTAAGATCCTACAGGCTGCGTGGCATGGCCAAAAAGACAAAAGGGGGGAAGCTGATATAGATATATTAGTTATTAAATTACTGAATTGACAGCTGCTGCCCAAGAGGACCCCTGACCGCTCCCAACCCTCTCTGTACTTTATTTTTTTGGCCACTCTGCACAGCTTGTGGGATCTCAGATCCCCGACCAGGGATTGAACCTGGGTCACGGCAGTAAAAGCCCGGAATCCTAACCACTAGGCCACCAGGGAACTCCCTGCAAACCTGTCTTTAGAACTCTCATGTCCTCAAGATCCACTAAAGGGGTAACACCAGGCCCAGCAAGCAGCCTCCAGTTCTGACTGGTCAATATTATTCTGTGGCACTGACCAATATGGTTAAATATTTTGACTATTATCTCTGATTACAAGTATTATTTAGGCTCAGTTACAAGTGCTTTCCTTCAGCACATCTAACAGAGAGAGGAAGCCAGCATCCTCTCTTGTCATTTCCTTGAAAATAAACATCTGATTCAGTCCCCACCAACAGATGAAAGTTCGAGGTCAGGATAAATGAAAATCTAGTGGAATCGGGATGGATGAAGAACAAGGGAAAAAAACCCAGTGCAGAGGCAGGTGCTCTGCTTCCTGACGTCATTGTGACTAGACTGGCCTTAACCCATTTCCTTCCTCACCGGGGCCAGAAAGAGGAATCTCTGTCTGACCGTTTACCATGGGTCCATTCGCTCCCCAACCTTCCTCTGCTGTGAGAACTTGGGGAATTTGAGCCTTTCTAAGTCTTTTTCTTATGCTGACCAGAGCCTAAAGGCATGAAACTCAACAAAAAGCCTTATGGAAGTTTCTTCACATTCTTATTTGTTGCCCAACTTAAGAATCAACGATTCTAGGGAACTTTCCAAGCCCACGGCAGCCTGTCTGATTTCCTCCTATTTTGACCTCCTTTAAGAACTCGGAGTCTTTGGTATCTCTGGGCTTTGTATCCCTTTGTGAGCATCTATTGCTTGAATCATTTCCTGTCCCATGAAAAAAATTACATGGCAAAACATCAGTGAGATACCTCACCTACCTCTCAAGTGTGTGTGTGTGTGTGTGTGTGTGTGTGTGCGGCTTCTTAAAGGCAGGTGTTGCATCTTATAAATAACAACCACACACACACACACATACACACACACCCACAAACACATATGAGATGGGATAGGATTAGGGATGGGATGCGTTTGTAGATGGGAGTGGGATTGGAGACAGTTGAGATGAGATGGGGTTGATTAGGGGATAGGATGACAGATGTCTTTGGAAGGAGGATGGGTTTGAGTTGGAGCGTGTTGAGGATAAAATGAAGTTGGGGACAGGATTGGAGGTGAGGTTGAGTTGGGGTTGGAGCCAGGCTGGAGATGTGTTTAGGATAAGGAAAGGTTTGGGCCGGGGTAAGGCATGGAGCTGGGGTTGGGGTGGCCTAGGATGAGGGACAGGACCAGGATGATGATGGAGGTTGAGCTGCGGATGGTTTGGGGTTGGGGATGGTGAGGGCTGCCCTACTCACCGGGACTGGGCTGGTTGCACAAGTCTGACCCACACACGGCCTCTGTCAGGGTGATGATCTGCATGCCAGTCCGATAGCTCATGGTCCTGTTGGTCTTTTCTGGGTGGGTACAGCCTCTCTCCACCACCTCCAGCTCATCACCTTCTATAAGGAATGTCTCATTGTCACCCCAGAGGCTCCCCTGGGCCCAAACAGCCTGTGACACTCCTGGTTATAAGGTCACCCGCTCCCAGGGCTGATCCCACCCAGGCCTCTCCTCTTGCTTGAGTCCAACTCTCTCTTTTCTAGAGTTATGCACCCTCCCCCAAACCCCCTACACTGGAAGCCTGCTTTCTTTTAGTGATAACACTATCCCTGGGACCTTCTGGATCCATCTACCCGCTCCCTCCCAGCTTGGTGATCTTAGCAGGGAGATGCCTCTGACAGGAATCTTTAAAGGAAAATGCTTTGAGCTTACCAAAAAGTACAAGAGAATGATATAATAAATACTGTGCTTTTATCACCGAACTTTATAAAATATTAGCATTTTGCTATATTTGTTTCAGATATTTTTTTAAAAAGAAACCAAGTTTAAAAGACAGTTAAAGCCTCCTGGTAATCTCCCTCCCTCAAACACCACTTCCCTTATGCTCTGTCCAGAGGCAACCACAGGTGTAGGTAATTCTAACACCCCCGTATGCAGAATATATATTATTGTTTATTTGTATATCGTTTATTTATTTTGATTGTTAGATACTATTTCTATCAAAAGGTGTCAAACTCTGCAACATGCTTTTTTTTTTTCTTTCAACCTTATATTTTTGAGATGTATCCAGGTTAATACCTGTAGCCCCAGCTCCTTTATTTAAGCTGCTGTGGGGTATAATGCGTGATTATACTGTAACGTTTTTCCTCTGCTGACAACTGACTTCAGTCTTTCCAGTTTTCCATATCACAAACGTTAGGGCTAAGAACATTCTTTGCCATATGTCTCTGGGCAAGTGTGGCCAAGGTTCTCTGGGGTCTCTACATTCCTAGAAGTCCAACTGCTTGTTGTCGGGTATGTTCATCTTTAACCAGATATTGCCTATTGCCACGTGGCTCTGTTTGGTGGATGCACCAATTTACCCACCTAACAGCAAAGCCCGCATCTCCACAGCCTCATCGACCACAGTATTGTCAGATTTTTCTTTTCTTTTTTGCCGCGCCAAGTGGTATGCCGGATCTTAGTTCCCCAACCAGGGATGGAACCCGTGCCCCCTGCATTGGGAGCACAGAGTCTTAACTACTGGACTTCCAGTGAAGTCCCTGTCAGAGTTTTAAATGCTTGTCCATCTGGGGGCTTGTAACCGGTGTCCGTGTCTTTCTCATGCGTATTTCCCCGATGGCTCGTGAAATAAGGTTTCTTTGTCACTCCCGTTCCCTGCTCCAGCTCACCTTCCCATATGCGCAGGACCGTGGTCCTGCAGAGGTCCTGGCCGGGGGCACACTCTTCCACCCTGCAATTCCCGGTAGCCTTACACAGCATGCACCGCAGGCCCCAGGAGACTGGGTGCAGAGGGGGGAGAGGAGAGGTGTTATCACTCTGCGCCAGGATCCCGCTCTCGCCCCCTTAAGCCCCAACACCTGGACCAAGTCTCCAGGCCATATGCACTCAGGTTCGGGCTCCACTTTTGCCCGCCCCTGGGTTCCAAGGCTGGTTTCCAGCCCGCTATACCATCTTTAGGCCAACGTTCTATCTCCACCCTCTACCCTAAAGTTCTTTCTCCGTCCACAGGTCCTTCCTAAGTCCAGCCCTCGCTCGCCTTCCCTTTAATTCTGTCTGAGCGCCGGGCCCATCCTGAAACTCCGAACCTCCTCTCCTTGGGTGTGGACGTTCTAGCCCGGCTCCCAATTAGGTCCTTTCCTCCACCCCGCCCGCCTCGGCCTACTCCGCCTCGCGAGCTCTCCAAGGGGTGTTCTAGCCTCACCAACTCCAGCCAGTCTTTATGTTCTACCCCCGTTCCCGGTGCCCTCCACTAATGCCCACTGGCATTCTTCCCCTCCGTAGCCTCTCCCCAGCGTTCTCTCTCCCCACCCAACAGTCCACACCGAACTTCTTAACTCCGCGCATCAGGCGTGCGGAGATTCTAACCCCACTACTACTGTGGCCTCCCCAGAAGTTCTCCCCGCTCCCACTAGCTGCTCCGGAACTGCTAGCCCCTCCCACTGCCCCTCCCCGAAGTCCTGACCCCGCCCACTAGCTCCGCCCCAGGGCCTATCCCTGCCCATCACGTGTCCCTTGCGGTCCCTTCCCCGCTCCAAATTCGGAGTCCACTCCCGAGTCGTTGCTCATTCTAGGCCTCCCGCGGTCCGGAAAGCTTTCCCGGTTATTCATTACCGAACCATCTCCCAACCCCTACCCCCAGCCTGGCCCTGCCGCGCCCTGACAGCAGTTCCTTCTCAACTTCCTTTCATTTTCCAACCCTTTTTAGATTTTCCAGGGAAAGGAGGTGAGAAGTCTCGTCGGCTAGAGGATAGTGAAAGGGAAGGCGCCTCGAAGGACGAGCCTTGGGTCCCCGGCCCCCGGCTCTGCGACGCTGAGCCTGACTTTCTTTAGACCTTTTGTTAAATGAGACGCTGTCCTCCCTGTCTTGCAAATGTGTCTGTGTGTGCGCACGTGTGTGTGTAGAGGGGCAGGGGGTGATCTGATAGAGGGGAGAGGGCTGTAAGAGCCCCCTGCGGGTCAGAATCCCACTTACAAGGACTTGCTGTGTGACCTCGGACCAGTTACTTAACCTCTCTGTGCCTCAGTTTCTCTGTAAAACGAGGTTAAAATAGTTCTGCCCGCCCAGTTGGAAGTTGCAAGGAAGGAGCTTAGAAGAGTGCCTGGACTAAAGAGCGTACTCACTACATGGCGGCTGTTGTTAAGCGCCTTCGCTCAACGAATATTTCCTGAGCGTCTACTGTGTGCCTGGTACCGTGCCGTGTGAGGCTGCAGACAGCAGGAGAATTATTTGAGTGTGGGTGGAGGGGCTGGGGACTGAGCCCTCCTCCAAGTCATCAGACTCTGAGCTCTCTTCCCCTCCCCTTCCTCCTCCCTTCCCTCCGGTCTGACCCGGCCCCCGGTCCCGCAGAGATTCGGGCACCCAGCCCCTACCTGGAATGCAGGTCTGAGCCCACAGTAGCAGCACCAGCAGCGGGCGGCCCATGTCCGGCGGCAGCTCCTCTCCGCGGTCTCCCTGCACCTTTCAGTCTGGCCCCCGGGAGGAGACAGTTTTGTGGCCCTGGGGGCTCCTCCCAGACGTTTGCGAAAGAGCGAGTCAGCTCCAGATGCGTGGGTCATCCACCCCCACCCACCTTCCTCACAAACTTCCTTTACCAGGACGCGCCAGCGAGGGGTAGCGGGGCTGGCTCTGCTCTGACTCACGCTGGCCGTGGTCACAGCTCTCCCCAGACTGCCTGGGTGCAAATTCCACTTCTCCCTCTTCCTGCCATGGGACCTTGGGCAAGGGCCCTCACCCCTCGGATTAAAACTTGTCACGACGGGAAATTTGTGGCTGATTATTAGATAATATAGGTCTTTCTTTAGCTTTGTTAGGAAGGATAAAGGTATTGTGGGTTATATGGGAAAATGTCTTTGTCATTTAGAGCTGCACGCTGAAACATTTGGGGATGAAATAATACAATGTCTCCATTTACCTTAAAACACTTCAGCCAAAAAGTAGATATTGCTGTTATGACCATGGTTTTGTGGTTATGTGGAAAACTTTTTCTTATATTTTACAGAGATGCTCAATGAAATATTTAGAGGTTGAATGTCATTGATGTCTGCAAGTACCTTGAAATATTTTAGGAAAAAAGAAAGGCAAAATAGCAAAATAGCTGTATCAATTATATCGAGGTAATTTATATGCCATTCTGTCTCCTCTGTGTTTGTAAAGGTTCATAATAAGTTTTTTAAAAGGAAAATTAAGTGCCAAAGGTAAAATAGTCTCTCCCTCCCAGTCAGAGCAATTTAATGCAGTTAAATTAAATGCCTGAAACAGTCACTGGCCCGCATGGAGGGCTCAACAATCTCTGTCAACATTTACTGAGGACCTACTTTGTGCCAGGCACTGGTCCAGAAGCTGGGGACACAGCAGGAGAGTCCCTGCCCTTGTGACAGTAGGGAGTAAATATATGTTATCTAATCTATTGCTGTCAGGCTGTGATAAGTAAAGTGCAGAAAAACAAACCAGACTGAAGGAGGTGCAAGGGTACAAGTGAGGCAAGGTTGGTTTCAGGCCAGGTAATCCAGGAGGGCTTTCCTGAGGAGGTGATATTTGAAGAGTGGCTGAAGGTAGTGAGGGAAGAAGTCCAGGCAGATGGTCCAGGAAGAATTCCAGGGAGAGGAAACTGCCAGTACAAAGACCCTGATGTGGGAGCAGACCTGATGAGATCTAGGAACAGCAGAGAGGCCAGTGTGGCTGGAACAGTAGTAGGCTATGAGTTAGCAGTATCTACCTCTACCACTGCAATAATGATTATACTATTGTTATTCTTACTAATGCATCAAAACCTTAAGGTAATCATTTTAAGATAAGGTAAGAAAAATCCCATAGAAATTCTCTTTTCTAAGAGGTTAAGAGTGTGGGGGCTGACACCAGACTGTGAGGGTTCAAATTTCAGCTATTCAATAGCTGTGCTGCCTTGGGCAGGTTACTTAACCTCTCTGTGCCTCAAGTCCTCTATCTGGAAAGTAAAGCTAAGCGCCTCCCTCCCAGGGCTTGTGGGCTAGCAACAGAAAAGTGTACACCCAAGGCACTTGCACAGTGCCTGGCACATAGCAAGTGCTCAATAAAAAACATCACTGCCATTGTTATTGCTGTTGGGCCCGACTCTAGACTCTGGCCCTGTATTTCCTCTCTGGGGGATAGGAATGGAGGTAGAGCTGTCATGAGTCTTAGGATAGCTGTTGTCCTGCTGATGACAGCAGGACAGGACAGCTCCCTAGCTAGGTCACCCTGGGTCAACTGATACCCTCCTTGCCAAGTTTCAGTTTCCTCATGTGGAAAATGGGGTCCCTCTTGGGGCTGGCGTGAAGACTGAATGAGATATTAATGCATATGACGTGGGGAGATAGAAAGTCTGGGTGTTGGTCCAAGTAGGCTTGAGACCCAGCTCACCTACTTGCTCCTGCGTGACCCTGGGCAGATGGCTTCACACCACAGATCTTTGCTTTTCCCAGCTGTGACATGGATCTGGGGTGGGTGGAGGCATCTCTCAGTGAAAGGTAGGTTCAAGTTTGGGATCACATGGAGCTGTGTGGTCTGGCACAACCACCTCCTTGCCGGATGACCTCACTGCTCCGGACCACGATTTTCTCTCTTTTAAATATATATATTTATTTATTTATTTTTGGCTGCATTGGGTCTTTTTTGCTGCGCGTGGGCTTTCTCTAGTTGCGGCGAGCGGGAGCTACTCTTCGTTGGGTGTGTGGGCTTCTCATTGCGGTAGCTTCTCTTGTTGTGGAGCACGGGCTGTAGGTGTGTGGGCTTCAGTAGTTGTGGCATGAGGGCTCAGTAGTTGTGGCTCGTGGGCTCTAGAGCACAGGCTCAGTAGCTGTGGCGCACAGGCTTAGTTGCTCTGTGGCACGTGGGATCTTCCTGGACCAGGGCTTGAACCCGTGTCTCCTGCATTGCCAGGCAGATTCTTAACCACTGTGCCACCGGGGAAGCCCCACAATTTTCTCTTTTATTTGAAGAATGAGAGAAATAACTCGGAGCCCTCCCATCCCAACTTCAGACTGCTCTGGTCTCCCGATCTGTCCATCTGTCTCTCCCTTTCTGTTTCTCTGTGTTTTTCTATCTCTGTCTTGCTCCTTTTCTTTGCCTCTCTATGTCTCTCTCCATCTTATCTCTCTGACTCTCTGTCCTCTATCTCTGTGTCTCTGTGTCTTTTTTTCTGTCTCTCTGTCTCTGTTGTTTGTCTCTCTCAATGCCTGTCTTTGTTTCTTTGTCTCTTTCTGTCTCTCTGTCTCTGTCTCTGACTTGTTCTCTCTCTCTCTCTCAAGTGACACACACTGTGAGGTCCAGTGACGTGTTACAGGAGGGGGCAGGCAGGGGGCTGGGCCGTGCACAATCCCAGAAAAGCGGCAGGAATGTCAGCTCCTTCCTCCCTGTGACTCACCTGGGCCTCACCCAGCTCCTACCTGCCTGCTGGGTCCTGGGCGAGGCCCATGGGTTTCGGGGGCTTCCCGGGGCTGAGTAAAGGAGAATCTCGTGCAGAGACAGAGAGGGAGAGTGATCGAGAGAGACAGAGACAGAGAAAGAGACAGACAGGAAGGAGAGAGAGTGAGAGAGATAGAACCAGAGGCCCAAGACAGACAGACTCAGGGGAAATCATAGAGGGAGAGAGACAGAGACTTCACATATACACACTACTCTATTTAAAATACATAACCAGGGACTTCCCTGGTGGTCCAGTGGCTAAGACTCTGCACTTCCACTGCAGTGGACACAGGTTCGATCCCTGGTCGGGGAACTAAGATGCCGCAGACTGCGCGGCCAAAAAAAAAAAAAAAGTAGATAACCAACACGGACCTACTGTATAGCACAGGGAACTCTGCTCAATATTCTGTAATAACCTAAATGGGAAAAGAATTTGAAAAAGAATAGGCATATGTATATGTATAACTGAATCACTTTGCTGTACACCTGAAACTAATACAACATTGTAAATCAACTATAGTCCAATATAAAATAAATTTTTTT